GTGATCCAATGCGGTGCCCAGCCCCCAGTGATCCGATGCGGTGCCCAGCCCCCAGTGATCCCATGCGGTGCCTAGCCCACAATGATTCCATGTGGTGCCCAGTCCCCAGTGATCTGTCTACAATACAACTCCTATACCTAAGGAGAAAATCTCCCCAGTTATTTATCCAATGCTAAGTGGTCAGCCCTGAATCATATCCACACAAGCAACATCACCATTATACAAACTGAGCAGGCTGTAGTTATACTTTTAGGAATATGTGTATATGTGTATTACAAATACATGTTCTCTCACTCTCTCTCTCTTTCTCTCTCTCCATTGGCTGCTGGATTTGGTTTCTGTTCCCCGTTCATGCAGAGAACTGTGATATGTGAGTCTACCCCTGAATAAAGAACCCTTTATTATACTAAAAAAATATGTGTTTATAATTTACATAATGTAAATTATAAATATATGTACATATATGATGTATATATAATATAAGTGAGATATATATATATATATATATATAAAGAGAGAGAGAGAGAGAGAGAGTATTCAAGAAAAAGAGGCCATGAATTTAAGAGAGAGCAAAGGGGATTCATGGGAGGTGTCAAAGGGAAGGAGAGAAATGATGTAATTGTGACTATTAGACTGTCAAGAACCTGCCTCAGGGCTGCTGGGATGGCTCCCCAGATAGAGACACCTATTTCCAGCCTGACTGTGTGAGTTCGATCCCTGGGAGCTATATGATGGAAGAAGAGAAATTTCTGACAAAGTTGTCCCCTGACCCCCACATGTATGCAGTGACACACAGATATAGGCACACAAAATAAGCAAAAATAAAATAAAAATGTAACTTCTTTTTAAGAAAAAAAGTAGGACTGTTATTTGGGGAACAAAATTGAACCCCACCATTGGTCGGATCCAGAGAACCTCTCAGATCTGGGTTCAAAACCTCCACACACTTTCTTCCAGAGACCTTTCTAGGAGGGAGAAGATGGTAAAAGCATGGAAGCGTGACTCAGCAGTCAAGCTGGGTTCGATCCCCAGCACCACGTGAAAATAAAAACAACAAGCAGCTATGATGGCTCCTGCCTGTTGTCCAGCATGTGAGAGATCATCAAGAGGAAGAGAAGTGCAAGATCATCCTTGGGTACATAGCAAGTGCTGGGCCAGACAGGGCTACAGGAGACTATCTCAGAATCCAAATAAAAAGAAAGATAGGAAGATAGGGAGACAGATAGATAGATAGATAGATAGAG